TTTCGTTTTAGATGCGTTTACACGCATGCCGGGAATGTTGCACTCGGTTGTGAACCTTTCCAGGGAGCACTGTAGATCAGTTTCTGAAGATGCAATAAAACAAGATCGTCCACGAATAGCAACCTTCTCGTCTCCACATCTCCTACACCGATTTTCTCATCGCCTTGGCTATGCCTGACTATTCTATCAGTGTATAACACAGACAGGAGAGGAGACTGAACACAGCTTTGGCGGTGACTAAATGCCAAGGCTGAAAGAGTTCGACTTAACGCTCGTTACTCAGACGAAGCACGTGCTAACAGCATATAGAGAGTACATAACAACTGACCATGGCATGGCCCGTAGCAACTGACCATTTATCTCATTCTTTCGCAGGCGTTTCGATAGACTGTTGCACGGGATCCGGTCATAGCATTTCTCTTGGATTACAAAACACATATGCATTGGATGGGTGATTTACTACGATTTCTGAACAATCTGGCATAGGGCAAATAACTGGTCAGAGGTACCTTGACCAGGCCAAAAGCAACACTGCTCTTCTTGTATCTAGAAGTCATTGATTCCGCGGTACCTCCTTTCTAGCACCATTGCTTATGCTCTTCCAGGGAAGCTCAACAAGGCAATGCCTCGATAATTTTAGCACTTCCTGTGGTCACCCTTCTTGAACATTGGTACAACAGCCAAAATTCTTCAGCCAAATGGCGTTTTTCCCGTCGTCATCGCAGCTTCACAGATACGAGTAAGCCAGCACATGCCTTCTTCGCCAAATTGAGCATTTCAGGGCGTATTTCATCAATTCCAGCAGCCTTTCCATTTTTCAAGCTTTTCACAGCTTGTGTAATTTCATCTGCCGGGAGAGTAATATCCGTACCCTACTGCTCTACAGGCGAGTCTTCCTCCTGTTGCGCGGGGTAAAGGAGTTCCTCAAAGTACTCCCTCCATCGCCAAAGAATGTCATCATCCTTGGTAAGAGGGTGTCCAGATCTGTCCTTCAAGACTGAGATTGCCTTTCTTTAGGGCCGAAAAAAAGCCGGAGAATTGTCTGGCAGAATGCTTTGTTTGCCGTGTGGAAATTCGGTTCCAACACATGATCAGACTTCTAGCAGTAACCATCTTTTTCTTTCTCCGCTGCTGCCACCATGCGTATTTCGACATATTGCGTGCGATTTGAAGGCTCTTCGCTACCAAACCATTTCTTGAATGCAGGTTTCTTTTCTTTAACTCTCAGCTGTACCTGTTGTGTCGGTCAGGAAGTTCTTTTCTGACCTCCATGCAACCCGCTAGCCAGTGTAAATCAGCAGTGTTCGGTGGCAGCTTAGAGTACTCTCCTCCTAAAGAGCTGCAACACGGTTTCCACATCAGCGGCCATCACCAGGATCTGTTGAAACCGTCGTACGATGTCGTTGCTAGTTTTGACCTCGTATCCGCGGCGAATAACGTTTCCCATCTGTCTCTGTAATTGCTTCTGCCACTAGATCGTCGCACAGCGCTTTTTTTCTCAGCATGGTATGCCAGCAACAACGTGATGATCGGTTGACTTGTCTGCGCCTCTCTTAACGAGAACGTCCGTTACAGCGCGTCGTAAGTCAGAAGGTACGATTACCAAATCGATCATCGACTTCTGCGAAAAAGCTTTCGAATACCGTGTATAGTGATACACGCTTCTATGCTCGAAGAAAATGCTCATAACAGGTGGTCCGTTGTTTGCACAAAACCGCAACAACTTCATGTCGTTATTTTTGAGGTAACTAGTTCCGTTCTTTCCAATTACGCCTTTCCACTTTCAGTGTCTGCTCTGACGTGTGCAATAAAATGGCTCATGATTATGAGGAACTCCGTAGTCGGCACTTTGTAAGGAGCGCATTTCATTTCGTCGTCAGAGTACCGATATTCTCCCTCCAAACTGGGCTCATGGGTCTGTTACATTACAAGGTCAACGCATTAGCCTGTTGTACCTTCAGTCAAAGGATTTCTACACTTTCGCTTACAGGCTTCAATTCAATGATTCTATCAGCCAGGCTTGATTCAGGTTCACCAACACCGGCCTAGGAACGTGTCGTGATGTCGACACCTGAGTAGAAGAGTTTCCTTTCACAGAGGGTCATAATTCCAGATCTTCTGTGCTTCGTTGACGAGAGTTCGCCTATATCGAGTAAGTATGTTGCTGCCTCATCAACTAGGTTTCGGTCCTTCCCTCTGAATGAGGATATTTTTCAATTTCCGACTGCATGTTCCCACTAGTGGGATCGTTCCCGTGGAGCCTTTCATGACGTGCTATGATGGCTGAGTGCGTAAAACGAGTCTGAAATCATAAGAAGCAACGCAGTAAAAATAGTTTGCAAGGAAAGTATCTGAATTTTGACAACCAGCAGTAATTCTTTAGTCGTAATTTCACCAGGAACGATGTCTGTCCAAATTGCAAATCATATCTGCTGAAAATTCACAATATTTTTGAAGTAGCAAAAATTAATAATAGACTGCTATAATTCAGAAAATTTACTACTGTTTGATATGCAAAAGTAGCAGTGTAAGGGCATTAAGCATCTTGATTATAATTATAAGTTAAGGCACATCATGTGACAAATGTTATCCCCCCACTCAAACAAATGATACGGTGATGAGCAGGTGAGCCAGCGTTATAAGGCTTTTTTTTCCAGATTTTGACCATCCAAGTCATAAAGGATGTTAATTAGTCCATTTCTGAATACCATTCGTCAGCCAATGTTCCATCAAGTTAACATCCTTGCATCTTTACAGATGAGCAGTCACTCTCAATTCAGAAGATGGACAGCAGAGGAAAAAGATTTTTACATTTCTTGGAAAAGTAACAGCGAGTTTTGTTTTCAAACTTTCTGTCCGGATGGTAGCTGTGATTTCAGTCTTCCGACAGATCTATCTGAAGGGCATAAGAAGGTAGACCCAGTTTATTATAGGCCGAGGGTCAGCATGATGCTCCGATGTAGTCATACATGATGGGCGAGAGATACGGGCATCTGTCTGATTTGAGCGCCTCTTAGGGCTGCATTTCGCCTTGGTTCACGTGATAGCTGCTCGCTCAACATGATAATAAGCAGAAAGCATAACCCCTGTTGTTGTTATGACTAGGCAAAACAGTTTTAATCGATACAGATATCTTATGAACTCACGCCCTTTTCCTCATTTTCACGTTCGTTGATTTTTAGTTAGCGACAGCTGCTCACTTGGTTCGTATCCTTCCAAGTTACTGGTGATATTTTTCACGAATTCGCGCCCAGTAACCTTCACTTGCTTACTGAAAAAATACCTCTGAATGTTGCAACGGGTCAATGGGACAATCCCCAATGGAATTGAAGATCACCGTCCACATTAATTCCCAAGGAAGGTATAACAAAATATTTTCATCATGGCGTTTATCTGCTTATAAACGGCTGGAAGATGACGACGACTCATGATCAGATAACATATAATTCAAATAATTCCAAAATAAATAAACGGCATCACACTCTGTACCGCTTGGAAAATCAAAGCCTAAGGAATTGGCGTTGTCAAAATATGTAGACGCATGTAGTCATCTCCTTGAACTGAGGATGATATGGCATGTTTATAATTACTGAGACCAGGAGATAAGTGGTGTTTGTTTTCATGTCTGAGAAATTGCTCAGATGAAGTGACGTATCAGAATCCAACGTGGCATCTCGAAAAAAATTCGATTGCTAGACATCAACTGCACTATGCGGAAAGATCCTTGAAAGCCATCTGTCACTCTATTCGGCTACACCGTATCGTCCAACGCGATGCTTGTTCTCAAGGAGTCTGTCTCCGGTCAGTATTTCTCTTCACTGTTAGGATTTGTACACAAACTAATGATGAATGACTGGTTTGAACGGTTGGTTGCAACAGTTTAAAAACAGAGCACTTCGTTTGGACACGTTTCGTAATTGCCGACTAGCGAAAATTTACACTTTGCCGAAGGCAAAAAGCGTTTATTCCGGAAGAATGGACTTTTCTGCCTTCCCTCAGCTTACCTTACTTATTAGTTTAGTTTTTATTCCACATAGATTATTCTGAACACTTCATAGATGTCAAAAACTTATCGCAATTTCCGTGTTTGAGTAAACTGATGTTTAACTTTTGTGTTTATTTGTGCTCCACTAAATGTCCATGGTTTGGAGCAAATGCCAAACACTTTCATATCGTGCTATAATAGCCAAATCAAAGTCACTCATTTGAAACTTCATACTGTTTAAATTTTTGGATCGGTAAGGGCTTTTACGTTGAAATTCCCAAGGTAACCGCCAGTGACGTACTCAACATTCCTTATCACCTGCACGATACTGCACAATTACGCAAATAGTTAGCGCAATTTGCGGTTGGATGCGTCAGTTATTCAGCAGGCAGGTGCTTTAATTGGAGCAACACAAGCAGTTTCTGTACATTTTTAACAGCACTGGTTAGACATTGACGTTTTTTGAGGAAAATGAATAGAATGAATGAGTACACAGAAATTAAACTGCTTCGGGCCTGCAGATATGTGAATTATTTAGTCACGAGGGTATAACTTGCAGCTACTTTTAACATTCTTTGCGTGCTTAATTGATTGAGATTCAAAAAACGTCGCAGCTATAAGAGCGACGAGGAAAACTGCGTAACCGTGATGACCGTTGAGCATGCTGTTCCTCCAGTGAATGCGAAACTTAGGTTCAAACAAGTAACACGAAACGACTGGTCGCAAAATGTCGTTTGAGGCTGAACAGCGTCAGAAATTTAGAAACGCGATGAATTTTGCTTTTCGAGTCGGATTTTTATTTCTTTTCGACTTTCAGAAACGGTCCCGGAGGGCGAAGTGTATTATGAACTCGTATTAATGGTCTGAAGTTTGTCGCACCTCACAGGCCAACTGTCCGTTGTCTTCTACGTGGTTTGCTTCGACCAATAACTCACTTAGGCACTGGCCAAAAAACAGGCTGTTTACACGTTTACTGTATGATTTTTTTGACCATCGTGTGCTTGTTTAGATGGTTATGGGCCAGGCAAACGACAACTTGCACGTTCCTGTGAATACGACCGACGACGTGCTGCTACAACCCAGCTGGCACGTGCTGTACTTGGCGGCATGTGTTTCGTTGATCTTCTTCACGGTACTGAGCAACTCGCTGACGATCTTTGCCGTGTTCCACATGAAGAAGCTGCGATATTCTGTCAGCAACTGCTACATTGCCAGTCTGTCATTGGCTGATCTGTTCGTTGGCCTGTTCGGCATGACTTTTATGACTGTTAACATGGTGATCTATGATGAGCGGTGGGGTTTGCCGTCGGTGCTGTGTGATCTGTGGCGAGGTATCGTCTATACTAGTTTCACAATCACGCTCTACAATGTTTGCGCGATCGCATTCGACTGCTGGCTGACTCTCGAAAAGCCAC